CATCCAGAGCCTTGAGGAACTCCGGGCGGATCTCATCCACCCCTGGGGCCTTGCCACCGAGGAGCTTTTTAACCACATCGGTGACTTCAACCACAGAGATAGGAGAGCCCACCTCAGGGTCTTCAGACTCTGCTTCCTCGAAGGAAGGCGTGTTGGTGGAGTTGAGGAGGTCTTTCGAAGTACTCTGCCCACCGGTTCACAACGTCCCGAGTCGAAGTCAGCAGCGCCCCATCCCCACTGTACACAGTGTTAGTGGTGCACTGCTTCCCGCTCCTGAGACGTCGGATGGTGGATCAGAATTTCCTCGAAGCCGTCCGGAAGTCGGCTTCCATGGCCTTACCGAACTCTTCCCACGCCCGGGTTTTTGCCTCGGCGACCACCAAAGCTGCGTTCCGCTTGGCCAGTCGATACCCGTCAGCTGCCTTTGGGGTCCCACAGGCCATAAAGGCCCGATAGGACTCCTTCTTCAGCTTGACGGCATCCCTTACTGCTGGTGTCCACCAGCGAGTACGGACAGGCACCAACCACCTTACGTCCACAACTCAGATTGGCAGCCTCAACAATAGAGGCGCGGAACATGGTCCATTTGGACTCAATGTCCCCCGCATCCCCCGGGACATGGGAAAAGCTCTGCCGGAGGTGGGAGTTGAAACTCTTTCTGACAGGGGATTCCGCCAGACGCTCCCAACAAACCCTCACAATACGTTTGGGTCTGCCTGGACGGACCGGCATCTTCCCCCACCATCGGAGCCTACTCACCACACCAGGTGGTTCAGTTGACAGCTCAGTTGACAGCTCCGCCCCTCTCTTCACCCGAGTGTCCAAAACATGCGGCCGCAAATCCGATGATTCAACTCAACTGTATTTATAGAGCACTTTCAAACAGCCATCGCTGCATACAAAGTGGAGCCTCTCGTGCGCAATCTTAATCATATGTTATGAGTTTTGTTGCTGTATGTAGCTCAAGTAAGCAATTCATTTGTATACCAATAGTAATGTTCCAAGGACTTTAACCACCCCAACCACTCTGTGGTACCAGCTGCTACTTTGCTTTGTGGAATTACTTTTTATTTGTGAAAATGTTGTTCAAAGCCGTACGCCGAAAACAGTCAAAACATGGAGCAATTCAACATATACAACAAACAGTAAAGCAAATCGGTAACAAAGACGGTAGAAAGCACCGAACAGCAAAACCAAGAACAAATCTAAGTCATGCTGAGTCAAACGCCAAAGAATACAAGTGAGTTTTGAGACGGGTTTTGAAGATGGGCAGCGAGGAGACTTGCCGAATGTTCAGTGGAACCACAAAGTCGATCATCGAATTGCGGCCTAGGGTGTCCTGGCGCCAAGTGCACATATGGACACCCTTATGTTTGAACAAGGTGTTCGTTATGGACAATCCGTGACGAGCACAGAAGTCCAATAACAAAACACCACTCGAGTTCTGATCGGGGGGGGGGGGCGTTCCTCCCAATCACGCCCTTCCAGGTCTCACTGTCATTGCCCACGTGAGCATTGAAGTCCCCCAGCAGAACAAGGGAGTCCCCAACAAGAGTACTCTCCAGCACACCCTCCAAGGACTCCAAAAAGGTTGGGTACGCTGAACTGCTGTTTGGTGCATATGCACAGACAACAGTCAGGACCCATCCCCCCACACCTGAAGGCAGAGGGAGGCAACCCTCTCGTCTACCGGTGTGAACCCCAATGTACAGGCACTGAGCCGGGGGGGCAATGAGTATGCCCACACCTGCTCTGCTGCGCCTCTCACCGTGAGCAAGTCCAGAGTGGAAAAGAGTCCAACCCCTCTCGAGAGAACTGGTACCAGAACCCAGGCTGTGTGTGGAGGCAAGTCCGACTATATCCGGTCGGAACTTCTCTGCCGCACACACCAGCTCGGGCTCCTTCCCTGCCAGAGAGGTGACATTCCATGTCCCAAGAGCTAGCTTCCGCAGCCGAGGATCGGACCGCCAGGGTCCCCGCCTTCGGCTGCCGCCCAGCTCCAAGGGTAAACAGATGACTTCATCATTATTAAATATTTGTCTAATAATTTGTCGTTCTTATATTGTTCCATATTTGGACTCATAAAATGCTCGGTTTGGCTGTTTTAGGGTGTGACTATCAACGATATTCCACCGGAGGTTTTGATAGACTGTGCACAGCTGGTGAAAAACAACAGCATTCAAGGTCTTAACTCTCACAGAAATATGAAAATCTTAAATGTTCCTCAAAAAGTGTCAGGAGAGTGTGGATTTGTGCGTCGCCTCCCAGGCTGTAAGATGAACAACATCGGCGTGGTCTACACGCCGTGGTCCAACCTGAAGAAGACGGGAGACATGGACGTGGGACAGATCGGCTTCCATCGACAAAAGGAGGTCAGACGTATCGAAGCTCTTGTCGGCGCCTGAATGTCTTGCGTCCGTGAATTCGTCGCTGACGGCTGATGTTTGTGGGTTTTTTTTTTTTTGTGTGTCTTCAGGTGAAGACGGTGGCTGTGGAGAAGAAAGTCAACGAGATCGTGAACCGCTTGGAGAAGACCAAAGAGGAGCGCTTTCCTGACTTGGCGGCCGAGAAGGAGTCAAGGGACCGTGAGGAGCGCAACGAGAAGAAAGCTCAGCTGCAGGAGCAGAAAAGACGCGAAAAGGACGAGCAGAAGAAGAAGAAGGAGACAGACAAGCTCAAGTCAGTCGTCATGCCCTTCCTTTGCTTTCATACAATATACAATAGCAAAACAAGTCATTCAACTATCATTTTTCTCACCCCCTGCCCCCCCCAAAAAAGATTTCGATATTCAAAATGTGTTTTTACAATAACAATAGAAACAAGAAATATATTAAACACAGCATCTTTACAACTCTTTTTTTTTTTCCCCTTCCCCAAAAAATTGAAGACATTTTAATAAAATAGGTCATCATTTTTGCGCGGTCTAAAAGTCCGGAATAATGTGCATGGTTGATCTTGTCGCATAATGTTCCCTTTTGTGCAATTTGAGAGAATTTAACGCGTATTGTCATTTCTCTCGTCCAGGTGCTACAGTTCGCTGATGAAAAGCGAAAACATGCAGACCAATGAGGTGAGCGCACACGTTAACTTGCTCCACTCATACAGGCTTGTCATTTTAAACAACGCTTTTATGTGAAAAAAAAACATCCCTGTGTAGGAGGGCTACGATTCCGACGACTTTATGTGAGGACGACATCAATAACGGCTAATGAAATGAAACAAAGACGTGAAAAAAAAAAAAACCCACACAAGGTTTGGTGACCCTGCCCCAAACGAACATGGCCGCCGCGTCCTGGAGGGAAGACGCCGATAAAGCTCCACGAGACAAGCCGAGGAGCGTTTTGGTCGGTGGGGGGGATGTAAAACTGATAGATTGATTATTTTTAATTATCATACATTCGCTTATTATTAAATTGATTGATTGATAAATTGATTATGCTTGCAAAGAAGAACGCTTATGCTTTTAATAAACATAAAATGCTTCTTAATCATTATATATGAATCATTATGTACTCACATTTATAATCTTTTTTATTCATTATCTACTCACATTTATAATCAAGAATGCTTAGGCACTGTGTGGAAGTTTAGGGACACAACCACCTTTCCGAGGACGTGGTTGGGAAGAGATAAGTGTTGAGACTAAACAGTGAGCAAGGTTGGACAGAATGGAAGCCATCAACACCAGCTGCAACGTAATGTTTTTGTAACAATTGCACACATGTACGTAATTTACACTCACATACACACACATAGTCAAACAAGTTCAGTGTGTCTTCAACAGCCCCCCACCCTTTAGGTTGGACACACCTATGTAGTAGATTTCCCAATAAATGAGGGGGTGAAGGGGGAGATCGTTAGGGTGACGTGCCGAGAACTGAAACCTAACGCTTCTCCTCGTTCCCTCCTGGTACCAGAATTGACTCTCCTGTCTTCTCCTTGTGTTTTATTCCTAAGTGTCATATTGGATAAACCTGACAAAAACTGATCGTGCCATTTTGAATGATGCTGCCGACTGATTGGTTGCACTTTTTTTTTTTGTTTGTTTTTGCATGTCAAGTGTTTACAATCAATGCTGTTTGACAATATTTTATTTTCATGTGTCTGTTTAAAATCCATTTTATGCATTTTTTTTCAGAGCTCATCAGCAGGCCTTCCATGTAAGATGTTTTAGTTTACAGAATCAAAATACCTATTCATATAAAAAATCCCATCCCAATCAATACATTTTCTATTAAATATCTTGTACATACTCAGTCTGGCCTCTGTGTAAGTGGAAGTTTAAACACGTCATGGAGAGCTAATTTGGTCTGACTGTAACCAGTGGTGCCCAACTGCGTTGCGTTTAAAAATAGTGACAACCTGACGATGACGGCAAAGACAATGTCTTCCCGTCAATGATGGTGATACAGTTCCCACATAAATTATACACAGCAATGTATTAAAATATTAAAACTTTGGAAGTGAAATCAAAAAGTTTCTCCAGCTCTAAAGATGCTTATTTCCCCATGTGCATCAAGAGAAAAAGGGAGAGTCAAAGGCGTGAGTACAATTTCAAAGAGGCAGTGCCACATTCATTACTGAAATAGGGCAACACAACATTTTTGTTTGTTTTGTCTCAAAATACACAAGTACACGCACAATTTCATTCAGTGGATGATTCCGTTGGAGTTGATAGTGTTCACTGGATGTCAGTGTTGGATCAATGTATATATTCCGTTACGTTTATCAAAAAATAGAACAAGGGGATGGAATTGAGTCAATGTCAACTTAACTGACTGTTGAATTAATCTTTTTTTTTTTTTTTTAAAGAAATTTTTGAATTGGAAGTTGACGGCCTTTTAAGGCTTTCAATACGTGCCCATGCCAACAGACCAGAACTTTGAACCAATATCTTATCAAATAATTTCGATACGCATTTGAATAAATTGCCTTTACTGCGCTAGCGCTGATAAGAAGTTTGAATTAAAACAATACAGCCATGGAGAGCAGTTGTCTGTGAGAGTCGCATAATAATGACGTCACACGAACGGAGTTCGGACACTCCCCTTTGCAGAAAGACCGACGAATTTACCCCGACGAGTTTTAATGATTAAAAAATGGCCTTTTTAACTTTTATTTTCACCCTGGCCTGGCATGCGTTCGGTTTATTCATTGTTGTGCTGTTTTTCGCGTTCCTCTGCTACTGCGTCTACGTCAAGTATATACACCTGAAGTACGACCACATACCTGGACCTCCGAGGGAAAGGTAAGGGGAAAAAAACTTGGGTGCTTGCCGCTCACCTCAGTTGACCTCTTTTTGTTTTTGTGTGTTTTTTTTTTTTTTTTTTTTTTAAGTTGGCTCTTCGGACATTCCCCTATTTTTCAGAGGACAATGAAAAACGACGGTCTTGTGCACGACGTTTTCCTGGAATGGTAAATATGTTTTTATATTTATCACTGTTATCGTTGACACTACCATTAGTGTTGTTACGTTGAAAGGGCCGAGCGTTATGGAGCAGTGTACAAGCTCAACCTGCTGCATCACGTCCTCGTCTTCGTTATCTGCCCCGAAACGGTCAAGGTACAGTCACTTCATTCCAAGTTTGCAAATATACATAATAAAACATATGAACATATTAAATTAAATGCCTTGATGGTTTTCCCACATACGTAACTGTTTGGTCTCATTTGATGACTCAAAAATAAAACCCCAAAATGTCACCAGTGTTTTTTTTTTTTTTAATACATTCAGGAAGTCTTGATGTCCTCCAAGTATCCCAAAGACCTATTCCTCCACACACGCCTCTTCAGCATGTTTGGTCAAAGGTGAATTGTGAAGAAAGACATGGATAAATAACAAATAAATATATACTGCATATAGTATATAAATTTGTGTCATTGATTGTGACTTGCAGGTTCTTGGGCAATGGCCTGGCAACAGCAAGGAACCATGATCAGTGGTATAAACAACGGAGGATCATTGACCCTGCCTTCAGCAGCCTGTGAGTTACTTTTGCACAAACCTAATCTGTGCTTTCGCAAACAAATAACCACAGCTGTGTTTTTATTATTCTTACATAAAATAGGGTGTGGCACACAAGCAAGGCAGTAAAACCACACAAGAATCCAGTCAAACATGCCCACACAGGACCATGCGTTTTCAAAACGGTCACGCCCTGATGAATGTGATGGCTCCTCTTGCCATTTAAGGATAACAGCCACACTGCACAATATCGCACAATACTTTACGTTGAAAAAAAAAAAAGGACACTGCACATCTCAAACACACATGCAAGCAACGCAGTGTGGAATTAAATTTGGGAACATTTCGCCTTTTTTTTTTTTTTTTTTTAATTGCTGTTATGCTTTCATTCAGAAGGGAACTGGTGTGTCCGGGCAAATTAATATCCACCCCCAAATGTGTGCTGACACTCGTGCAGGTACTTGAGGAGTCTGACGGGCACGTTCAACGAGCGAGCCGAGAGGCTGATGACCAAACTGGCCGACATCGCTGACAAAAAGTCGGAGGCCCGCATGCTGGAGTTGGTCAACCGAGTCACCTTGGATGTCATCATCAAGGCAAGGCCACTTTTGAAAAAAAAAACAAAAAAAAAAAAACAATTATTTTCAGGGTTATCTTTTAAAATGGAGGTTTGTTTATCCAGGTGGCGTTTGGCATGGATTTGGAGCTGCTGGAGGACACCTCATTGCCTTTCCCCAAAGCCATCGAGACCTGCCTCCAAGGGATGATCTTAAACACGCGTAACGTCTTTTTTCGGGTATAGCAAAGGTTACCTTTTCTTTTCATCGCCACAGTGAAATTTGGACGCACTGTCGAGCCCTGGAATAGCCTGCGGGGGGCGGCGAGAAGAGCCTGGCGGACCCCCAAAATTTAAAAGGGACTGTGGGGAAACCCTAGTAGACAATAAACCAAAATCATACTTACACAGAGCCTCCATCTTGACACGTGCTTGGATGAAAATGTGTCTACTCACACAAACGTATGACAAATAATGTCCCGATTGATTTCCAGTTGCACCCCAAAAACTGGGCCTTTGTGGAGGAAGTGCGCGCCGCGTGCAAGCTGCTGCGCTCCACCGGCACAGAATGGATCCAAAATAGGAAGCTCGCCCTCCAAAGCGGGGCCGACGTGCCCAAAGACATCCTCACGCAGATCATCAAATCGGCCGGAAAAGGTCGGCTATCGAAAACAAAAAGTCTCGGCTTCGCTAAGCATCAAGTGTTGAAAGTTGTGCATAAGAATATTTGACTTTTTTTTTTTTTTCTTCTTGTTTTAAACATCAGAGGAAAACATGACCAAAGAAGACGAAGAGTTCATGCTGGACAATTTTGTCACCTTCTTCATCGCCGGTAAGACTTAAAACAATTAAAGTCATGTGGATTGTTAGCGTTGTCATGGTGATGCTTTTGAATGACATTACCTTCCCGATTCGCTAATCCAGTGACATGCCAGGAGAAGAAAGAAAGTCACCTCACATGCGAACATGAGTCATTTGATTGAACACTTAGCCCAGCTCTTGACTCATCTTTTTTTTTTTTTTTTTTTTTTTTTTTACAAATAATATTGGCAAAATACAATACATAAGACATCTGGGATAAGCTCCAGTGTTTATCCTCACGAAGATTGCAGGTGTACCTTCGTGAGGATAAACGGATTCGAAAATGGGTGGATGGATGGATTCTACATGAAATTTCTGATTAGTCCAATTAAAATCAGTATTTTTCTCATGAACTCATTCACTCCCAAAGACGTTTTTAAACGTCTTTTCAGACTTGGTCCAGAATTGGCTGGTACTGAATGAGTTAATATTATTCTTTAAAAAAAGCTACTTTTAAGGGATCTTATTTTATTCATTATTTTCTTTTCATCCAGGACAGGAAACCACGGCTAACCAGCTCGCGTTTTGCATCATGGAGCTCGCCAGGCATCCTCACGTCATGGAAAAGTGAGGAAAAAAGTCAAGCAAAACGACAACAACGGATTCGCCGGTTGTGTTTTGTTTTCTAGAGCTCAGAAGGAGGTGGACGACGTCATCGGGATGAAGCGGGAAATTAGCTACGACGATCTCGGGAAACTGGTTTACCTCTCACAGGTACGCTGACGGGGGATGTTAAAATCTTTGAATTGTAAAATCTTCCGATTTGAATCATAAAAGTGTTTTGTATTTTCCCCATGATGGTGTTGCGAGTCTACATTTTTGAAACATAGAAAATATTCTCTAATTTCATTCTAGGTTCTTAAAGAGACGTTAAGGATATACCCGACAGCTCCAGGAACGTCCCGTGAGCTCGTTGAGGACATCGTCGTCGACGGCATCCGCGTTCCGGCCGGAGCCACCTGTATCGTAAGGCATTGACCGTGGAAAAAAAACAAACAAAAAAAAGCGGAAAAAAGAAAAATAAATATAACTAAACTCGTGACAAGGGCCCGAATTAACGCTTAAAATCTACATCAGTCGGCTAATTTTTTTCTTTCATTTTTTTTTCAGTTTCTTCAAGAATCCGCTGGAATTTAACCCGGATCGCTTTCATCCAGACTCTCCCAAGTAAGGATTTTTTTTTCTTCTTGTGACATTACTACTCTTTGGAATGGTTAA